AAGCTACTTTTTCTTTCTTTAAAAGAAAATGCGACAGGTGAAGCCACAGCATGGTTACCTTATCAATAATTACTGCCTTTTTATTTTTCTTTCACTGTGGGTGGGGTTTTCTCCCTTTCATTTTTACAAATGACGGACACCCGCGGCAGAGAACTTTAATCGAGGTCTTTTTTCTTGGTTGTTCACCGGACAACCAGGAGACAGGATCTGGTTGTCCGAAATGAAGATAGGTTGTCTCGGACAACCTAAACAAATGTTATGTCTACCCCTGGCTAAATAGTTAGCTTCTGTTCAGTTTGCAACACCAGAATTAAAATATTTAAATAAATACTCACCTAAACCTCTCCTTGAAACAACTTTTTGTGTTTTCTGTGTCTCATGAACCACTGGACAAATCTGAATAAAAATGTCACTCATTACATGGACATCTGTAATCCACTGATGCAGCACCACATACAGGCCTGGCATGGTTACTGTAGTGTTTGGGTGCCGTGTTTATTATGACCCCCGCACGCGAAGCGTAAGCGGGAGTCATATTGTTTTCGTACTTTCCTTTTTTTTTTCCAGAGATTTTTGGTCAACCGTAGCACAAAAACAGTTGCACCGGTCAACATGAACTTCGGCAGGGCTGTAGATGAGTCTGACCTACACTGCGCCAGCCAACGATTTTACAATAGACCCCATATTTGAGGAGGGGTCTCCTTTCAAAGGGGGTGTCTGGACATGCAAAAATGCTTATAACTCAGAAACTGTTCAACATAGAAGCTTCAAATTTCTTTTGTTGTTTAGCTCTGATGAATCTCTATCCATCAGGCCCACCAATCAGTCTCCCGCCCTAATTTATCTGAAAAAGGGGTATCTGGACTTACAAAAATGGTTATTTTAAAAACAATTAAACATAGGAGCTTCAGATTTCTTTTGTTGTTTAGCTCTGATGGTGGGATGTTTTAGTTTCAACATTCCCTTTTAAACTTTGGTTTTTATATTTGTAGTTTTCCATGTGGTCACAGATGTGTTCTCTTCTCCTCTCCTGTTCAGCCATGACCTCTCCATCCTTCTACGCAATGCGCATGGCCCGCCTCAGCTCCAGGATCTTTGGAGAAGTCGTGCGTCCAACCAATTCCCAATCCATGAAGGTGGTAAAGCTGTTTTCGGAGCCCCCCATGGCCAAAAAGAAGGAGGTGTACGACTGGTACCCACAGCACAGGGTTTACTACGCCATGACCTACAAGCTCCGCATCATGGGCCTGTTCAGGTACGGAACGCTGCGCCTAAATGTTGAGGTGTTTAGTTAAACCTCGTCTCAGACGGTGTTTGGCTTCTTAGAAAGTCATAAAACAAATTTCATCCCAGTCATGAAAGTTCAGAAGTAGAGGTGTGCCAACAAACCGATTCACATAAGAATCTTGGTTCTCATTTACTACGATTCAAAATGTCCCAAAATTGATTCTAAAAAAATAAAACAAATCCGCTGAAGTCTCCACTGAAGTCGTGGTGAAGTCTCGCCAGTGGCGCATGCCGGTCTTTCAACAAGAGGAAGCTCAGTTTCAGCCTACATAATAAAATGTGTGGGTTATAAATTCTACCCTCAGTTCCTTTTCAACAAAATGATCCGTGACCTTGTCACAGATCATTTTTTATAGTATTTATTTATTTAATTAAAAAAACATTACATACAACAAAACAATACAAACAAAATGAAAGGCAGCAGAAGAAGAAAAAGATCTTGATATCTGCTCCTATTTACAAAAATTATTAATTTCAAACAATAAACCAAATAATAAAACAAAACAAAAAATTCAACTCCTCAAACAGTGACTCATACAAATTAAACAATTTCATATTTCTTTGACAATTTTGCTTCGATGATTTTTTAAAGGAATTAATTGATCCAATGCTTTTATAATCATTTTCCAGATTATTCTATAGTCTTTTACATCGGCCAGCTCTGTCATACCAGGACAGCTGAAAAGACCTGTTATTTCCCCACTGTGGGATCAATAAAAATTTTTTAAATCTTACGTTTACCCATCTTTTGCACCAAATTAATCTGAGGAGTTGATCAGCCCTGCTGTTTAACTCTAAGTTTTTCTTGTAAACAAGACTGTATCAAATGGCTTCGCCAAAATCCGGTCCACAGCATTCATATTCTCTGTCATTATGTGCAGCTTGTTACTTAGCTAACTCGCTAGCTGGGACTGGCGCGAGGCTAGAGTGACGTGAGTCCACCTTTGAGTGCTTTGGAGGGGCTCAGGTGGACAGAAACTGTGATAGACGTCAGAAAGAGTGATAGAAGTCAGTCTCCAAACACAAGCAGATACAATAAAACCCACCAGAAATAAAAACTCGATTTGTTGCTAGTCGTTTTTAACAAAGAAAATGCGACTAAGAGGATTAGAAAAGTCTCCGGTTC